AGCAGACATCATTAACTTCCCCCTCCCTCCAAAGCCCCCAGCACACATATTAATAAAGCCCCCCAAATCTTTTGACAGGTAAAATATCTCTCATTTATGCATTTCATTTAGCTGTTTGTTCTGAGTTTATCTTTAATTCCAAGTTTTAGCACTGCCACATTTGGAAGAATCCAGTTGGGTAACAACATATGCAAAGCACTGTAGTAGCTAACAATAAATAGGAGCTGACCAGGTCTGTCCCTAAGGTTTTTCTCACCTGAGGCGACGTCATCCGTGAAGGGGGTTCTGGCAGAAAATATTTACTGGGGGGGCAGACCCGCGGTTTTTGTGCTGATTTGTGTTGGGGAAGGGGGTGGTGGACGCCGGGCCACACTGTCAACGGTTCTGTCCGGAGTCTCGGCCAGCTCACTGACTTCACTGGTTGCCAGGAGCTCAGCGGGATGCCAGCCAGAGTGGCCAGCTCAGTTCCTGGCAACTGGTAACATCAGTGAGATCGGCAGGAAGCCGCACAGAGCGTCATAGGTTGCTAAGAGCTTGTACCCAAACCACGATCCTGGCTTGCTCCAAGACTGTTCCCTTTAGCCCCGATCCTCCACCAGTCTAAGGTCCTGTGGGTCACCATGTTCTGTACAATGTATAGAATGTGAGAAGGTAAAGGGACATTCCATCGCTGGAGTGTAGTAAGAGACGGACTGCAGGGAGTGGTGTAGAAGTCAGCTGGGATCCCAGTTTGAGTGAATAGAAACTCTGTTATTTTAACTCCCTAGACAAAACGAGCACTTAAGTTTTTATTTGTTTGGGAGTTCTGCTTTAACGGCATAGGTTCACTAATTTCTCAAAGTCACAGTTGTGGTGACTATTAATAGTATTAGTACTGGTTACTGCAGTAATCAGTACACATGTGCTGATACCTTGTATTCTTAAATTCTAACTCATATTGATATCTAAGGACCAAATTAAAAAAAAAAAACAACAAGATTTACCCATGGCTGGTGCCAATATTTGATTCCATTTTAGCATTCAAACAAAACATTTAAATGTCTTAGTTTTCAGTTTGTTATGCGATGTCAATGATCATACATACCCTGGCATAGTCGTACAATTCCTGTGATGATGATGATAACCAAGGCTAAGACTTTGCCAAATGTGGATAATACTTGCAGCCAGGCTCCCCATTTCACTTTTGCACAATTCACGGCTGTTAACAATACTATAATACAGTCATTATGTTAGTGTTGTTCTTTGAAAAAACATAATATTTTAAACATGCGAAACATAAACTTAAATCATTATCTTAAAATGTAATATTAATTGAAAATTGCCACAGCATAATGACCCACCAATTTGTTCCTGTACACACAAACATACATGCGGCTGCTGTGTACAAAGATGCAGGCTTGTGGCCATGTAATGCAAGGGTCCTAGTGCTCACATATACTCACGGTGCGGGTTTATTTGTTCATTAGAAAAGTAGATGCCAAGTACACTATACTGTACAATTGTTGGATCTCATGCATTGAAGCGTGCGCCCAGAGCAAGAACCAGGAGGTTTGGACATGCTACTGTTAAGTGTATGACCAAAGAGACACCTTCAAAGGGCAAGCGAATAAGGTGTTTTTTTAAACATATCTTCCACTTCCCAGACCCATGTTCCAGGTAATTTAAACTGAGATTTAAATAGGGACTCAAACTGGCTGTCTCTGAAGACTCTAAAGGTGAAGGCGCCATCAACCAGTGAGTAATGAGATGTCTATTAAGGTGAAGAACTGGAGAGTCCACAAAAGGTAGGGACTATTTGTCAAGGATTTCACCTATCAAAGGGAAAATGCTTTATCACATCATCAGGATGAACCAAATATACCATGGCACGTTCCCATTCCTCAAAGATGAACTGTTCTAGAATAGAGGGTATAATATAGCACCCTCCTGGAGCAGGTTAGGGAACCCCAGTGGCAGGGGGGCTAGCATTTCACCTCAGGGATAAGCAGGGCTGGATTTACTCCACCTGCCGCCCCAAGGATAAGGTGTCCGCCGGCCGCAAACTACGGAGCCGGTGGGCGGAGCCTCGGGCCGCCCCCGTCGTGATTGGACGGCGGCGGACCTAGTGTGCGGCCGCCGGATACCTTCCCCGCAACTTCCCCACAAGGTCACCACTGCCGCCCCTCGGCGCTCTGCCGCCCCAAGGCCGGGCCTCGGTGGCCTTGTGGGAAATCCGGGCCTGGGGATAAGTCCTTGGCCAGTTGTGGGGTGTGAAGACAAGTTGAGCACCAGTCACTTTAAGGTGTTTTAAAGATTTATTCAGACAGACAGGAGCCCAGGGGCAGAGCACTTCACAAGGTCCTTCCCCAGCCTGCACCACTGACAATAAACCTAGTGTTTGGTCTGGGAGAGACTATATATATAGTCAAAGGCAGCAAAGCTATATAATCTGTTTATGAGGATAACCCTATGCAAATAGGGGTTCCAGGATTTAAAATATAATTAAAGAGAGAAAGCCTACAGAGACAGTGTCACACCATGGCTCTAAAACTAGAAAGTAGCCTGGTGCTAACTGACACAGTACACAAAGATCTCGAAAGTGCGGCAATATTAAGCCCTGTCCCCGAGTGTCACATAATAGGCTTATATTACACTATTTAGAGGTGCATGCACAAGACTGGACACTGTCACTGCTCCGGACTGCGGTACTGCTCTGAACGAGCAGTCTAGTGTAAACTAGCATAGTGCACAAAGTATAGAAAGCACCACAGTGCAGAGTTCAGTGTTCATCGACCACATACTGGGATATTAATATACTCAGAAGCTTATCACACTAGGACATTTCAGTGACTAGGTACACAAGAGGCTGTACTACTGCTTTGAAACTGGAGCGTGCTTTGCGGCTGACGGACACAGTACACACAGGTCTGCAAAGTTCCACAATGCAGAGCTCAGTGTTCAAATGCCATTAACCAGAATATTTTCACTTCCAGAGGCATACTTACACAGAGAGTCATTGGAGATTGGGTCACACTAGAGACTTTACCACTGTACTGCGCCTGTAGAGCACTCTCCGGCTAGCTAACACAGTACACACAGGTCTGAAAAGTGCCACAATGTAGAGCACAGTGCCCAAAAGTCACATTTCAGATTCGTCCTGTCCATGGGCCTACCCACAGAGTAAGTCTTTAGTGACTGTGTTGTGATGGACTGAACCGTCACCAGGGCTGCTGGAGGAGCCTGAGGGCTAGCCTCCTTCCTACAGACCACGGACCAGAACTATAGAGACTTATTACCCCGGAGAACTTTGTGTGCTGTGTGTGTTCCCAGTGTAATATTTCATCTAGAGAGAGAACTTGTCACTATTTGATGTGAACCATTCTTCTAAAGGCAGCAGGCTGTCTGGAGTGACCATTGTTTGCAATGATGGGATTAAGTTCCTCTCTGATTAAGGACATTCATCCCACAGAGTGTCTGGGCTTAAAAGACTTCTAATGCGGCACCTAGCTGTCTGGGGGAGGGGACACACTGCACTCCTATCTGATCCTGTCAGGTATAAACTCTGTGTGCTTCCTTCAATAAAGCAGATCTTGTTTTCCACCTCAACATTGGTGTTGTCTAATGCTTGAGTGGTTTAGCTTTCTGTCCTAAGATATTGGTTCTGTCCAATAATTAGGCAGGTTTGGGCTGAGGACACTGGGATTCGGGTTCCAGCGGAGAGGAAGCTGATTTATGACGGAGGTACCCAGTCGGGGTACCAGGAGGTCCGTCACAATTGGTGGCAAGCGGTGGGATCTGCTTCCTCTATACGGGCAGTCCAAACCACCACCGGAACCCAGAGCCAGCTACTATCGGAGGGGCATCCTGGGAGTTATTGGCCATGGAGGTGGAACTCCTGTGGCAAATGCAGCAGGTGTTGGAGCACCTTGACGAACCTGGTCCTGCACAGGTCGAGCGAGGTGGGAGAGAGAGGATGCCCAGCTATGCATCCCAAAACAGCTTTTCCCCGATTTTGGAGCAGGGACTGGCGCAGAGTCGTAGCCAGAGGTTCATGGGAGAGGCGGAGGAGAAGTTCAGCAGCCGGGTCTGGAGAAGGTTGGCAATCTACGGAGCCAACCCATCTGAGGTAGCAGTCCGCATAACCAATGCCGAGGTGGAGGAGCAGATCACCCGTTATCAGGATCTGCAGACCGCGGTGATGCTGGGATGGGATACCGCTGAATGTGAGATACCTATATGGGACTTTGAGCGGCAAGTCGAAGTCGCCATTTCCGGGATCAGAGGGGGCAGTTCCAGAGGAGTTGCGTCTGGAATGGAGAGCCCTGATCCGGCTGGAGATGTGGGAAGAGGCCCGGGATAATTATTATGGCTGCAGAGGTGAAGTCCTGTCTTCCCTAGAACAGCGCTTCGGGGAACAGGTGAATCTACGGATCAGCTTACTAAGCGGGCAACCCACAGAGGAAGGGATAGTAGAAGTGGAGGGTCTGGTGCAGAGAGAGATGGAGCTCGAAGACCAGTACCAAGCGCTATACTGGTTTCCCAACCGGTGGCAAGTGAAGGCGGGCATGCACTATTCCCCGGAAGGTGATGACCTTTGCGGCCCCGGATTATTGTGGGAAGCGTTTGGGGAGAAGGCTGATTTTGGCAGTCCCAAGGACTATCGCTTCTGGGACATCCAAGCCAAACGGCAGGGGAGGTTGCAGACTATGGAAGTCCATGCCTTGGAGCCCGACCTGGCCTGGCTGGTCCAACAAGAGTGGTGCCTAGAAATGGACTACCGGGAGCTGCTGGAAAGTGGTCTGCTATTCCCTTCCGAAGATGAAGACCCAGTGGAAGCCACACCACCAGAGACACTGGATTTAATGGATTTTACTTTGGAGGTTGTACAGCTTACTGAGTCCCCAGGTGAGATGCTGGCAACAGGGCAGAGTGCCACAAGCCTCTGCCCGGCACCTGGAACACCCGCAGAGTTCCAGGGAGAGGAGGCAGCCGGCCTCGCTCCCCAGCTACAGATGGAGATCCAGGGAGAGGAGGAAGCTGACCTCTCTCCCCAGCAGCAGATGAAGGTCCAGGGAGAGGAGGTAGCCGACCTCTCTCCCCAGCTGCAGATGAAATGTCCAGGGAGAGGAGGTAGCTGACCTCCCTCCCCAGCGGCAGATGAAGGTCCAGGGAGAGGAGGTAGCCGACCTCTCTTCCCAGCGGCAGATGAAGGTCCAGGGAGAGGAGGTAGCTGACCTCTCTCCCCAGCGGCAGATGAAGGTCCAGGGAGAGGAGGTAGCCGACCTCTCTCCCCAGCGGCAGATGAAGGTCCAGGGAGAGGAGGTAGCTGACCTCTCTCCCCAGCGGCAGATGAAGGTCCAGGGAGAGGAGGTAGCTGACCTCTCTCCCCAGCAGCAGATGGAGCAGCTGGAAAAAGGTGCAGCTGACACTAGTCCCCAGTGGCTGAGTGCTTCCAAAGGAGAGGAATTAGCTGTCCCTTCATCCCAGCGACTGGAAGAGCATCAGGGAGAAGGTACAGCTGTCATTTCTCCCCAGCAGCTGGAAATGTTCCAGGGTGAGAGTGTACCCGACACTTCTCCCCAGCGGCAGTGGCATCCGGAGTTCCAGGGAGGGGAGGTCAGTGTCCTCGCTCCCCAGCGGCAGTGTGTTTACCCGGGAGATGATGTGCGCGGCATCACGCTCCTGCGGCAGAGTCAAGTGGACCAGTTGGAAGAGATTTTGGATTTGTCTTGTCCGACTAACACAGGTCCAGACCAGTTGGTGGTCTGGTACCTGGTTAGTCTACTGTTGGGAGGGGAGAAATGTGACGGACTGAACCGTCACCAGGGCTGCTGGAGGAGCCTGAGGGCTAGCCTCCTTCCTACAGACCACGGACCAGAACTATAGAGACTTATTACCCCAGAGAACTTTGTGTGCCGGGGGTGGGTGCAGTGTAATATTTCATCTAGAGAGAGAACTTGTCACTATTTGATGTGAACCATTCTTCTAAAGGCAGCAGGCTGTCTGGAGTGACCATTGTTTGCAATGATGGGATTAAGTTCCTCTCTGATTAAGGACATTCATCCCACAGAGTGTCTGGGCTTAAAAGACTTCTAATGCGGCACCTAGCTGTCTGGGGGAGGGGACACACTGCACTCCTATCTGATCCTGTCAGGTATAAACTCTGTGTGCTTCCTTCAATAAAGCAGATCTTGTTTTCCACCTCCACATTGGTGTTGTCTAATGCTTGAG